TACACTTTTCTTTTGGATCCAGAAAACTCGGTTTTTGCATATTTTAAGGATAAGAGGACATTAAACATTCTTAAACACCTTAATAAACAATCAATACATTAAAAAATAATAAACACTAGGTAAGCTGGATGCAGTAATACCTGCCTGTAGTCACAGGTACTGCAGAGGATGAGATAAGATGATCACCTGAGACTAGGAGTTCAGGGCAAGCCTGTATTACTGAAAAACAAAAAACCCAAAAACAAAAAAACAAAAAAACCCAATAATGTAGGCTAAAATAAATGCTTTGGTCCCACTTAAAAATATTCTTTAATAAAAAGAATAAGGGAAGGCTGGGGGAGTGGCTCAAGTAGTAGAGTGCCTGACTAGCAAGCATGAGGCCCTGAGTTCAAACTCTGATACTGCCAAAAAAAAAAAAAAAAAGAATAAAGGAGGCTGGTCACTACGGCTCACGCTCACACCTATAATCCTAGCTACTTGGAAGGCAGAGATTGGGAGACTAGCTAGACTTCATCTCAAACAGTAAAAGCTGGATGTGCTGGCACATGCCTGTCATCTTAGTTAACCACAGGAGGACTGCAGTCCAGGCTGACCCTGGCATAAAAGTGAGACCCTATTCAAAAATAACTAAAGTAAAAGAGCTGGAGGTGTGGCTCAAGTAGTAGAGGACCTGCCTAACAAAACTCTAGTACTGACAAAATAAAAAATAAAAATAAAGTAACAGAGCCAGAGGCTGGTGGCTCATACCCACAATCCTAGCTACAAAGAGAGGCAGAGATCAGGAAGATCATGGTTTGAAGCCAGCCAGGCAAATAGTTCGTGAGACCCTATCTCAAAAAACACCCAACCAAAACAGGGACAGAGGAATGGCTCAAGCGGTAGAGTGCCTGTCTAGCCAGTATGAGACCGAGTTCAAACGCCAGTGCTGCAAAAATAAATGAATGAATAAATAAATAGAGAAATTGCTTAAAACATTTTGTTTTTAAATGTGTATTTTAGGATCCTAGGAGGTGTCAGATAACTGGAAAAAAACCCAGATCTTGTTTTTTAACTAGAACCAACCTTTAAGCACAACAAACCTCAAAACACAAGGCACTGATTGCATGAGATAATACAACTATATCTAGAACTTTACCAATACTTACCTTTTTTTTTTGGCGGTACTGGGGTTTGAACTCAGGGCCTCATGCTTGCTAGGCAAATGCTGTACCACTTGAGCTGCTCTACCAGCCCTCTTTTTGTGTTGGGTATTTTTGAGACAGGGTGTGAACTATTTGCCTGGATAATCTTAAACCATGATCCTCTTGGTCTCTGCTTCCTGGGTGGCTTGGGATTACACATGTGAGCCACACCTACTACATTCAAACTCCTACTAGCCACAAACTACTAAGACTCACTCAAGAAGAAATAGCATTATACCTTCCAAAGAAACAGAACTCACAGTCTAAAATGTTCTGCAAAAGAAAAGTCTAGGCCCAGATGATTTCAGTTGTAAATTCTTCTAAACATTTAAGAAAGAAATAGCACTAACTCTATACTGTCTCTTCCACAACATAGAAGAGGAAAAATTTCCCAACTTATTTTATGAGGCTAGCATTACAATGATACCAAAACAGAAGTACAAAGATGCAAAAGTGTTTTTAAAACATCAGAAAATCAAACTCAGAAACATATAAAAAGAGTAACACACCACAGGTGGAACTTAGCCTGAGAATGTAACATTGAAACAATATTCAAAAATCAATCACTGCAAGGCTAGAGTTGTGGCTCAAATGGTATAATGTCTGCTTAACAAGTGCTAGGCCCTGAGTTTTTGAACACCAGTATCACCAAAACAAACAAACAAAAAGATCAAAGTTGGGAACCCGTAGCTCAGGCCTGTAATCCTAGCTATTCAGGAGGCAGAGATCAGGAGGATCACAGTTCGAAGCCAGCCCAGGAAAATCGTTCTGAGACCCTATCTTGAAAAAAAAACCCTTCACAAAAAAAAGGGCTGGCACAGTGGCTCAAGGTGAAGGCCCTGAATTCAAGCCCCAGTACTGAAAAAAAAAAAAAATCAATGCAATCCATATTAATTGACAAAAAGTCGTATCAAATCACATAGAAAAAAATATGACACAAAAAAGTATCTGACAAATTCAATGCTCATTCATGATTCAAAAACAATCCAGCAAACTAGCAAGTGAAGAGAACTTCTATCAAACTGATAAAAGTGAGTTTACACAAATCCCATAGCTAACCTCCACACAATTACCTATGTAGAAAAATCCCAAGAAACCACAGGGTGTGGCGGCTCACACTCTGTAATCCCAGCAATCAGAAGGCTGAGGCAGGAGAACACCAAGTTTGAGACCAGCCAGGCTACATAATGAGACTGTCTCAAAAACAAAAAAAACAAACAAAAAAAGAAAACCCCAAGAAACCTACAAAAAAGCTCCTAGAAGTAGTGAGTTTAGCAAGGTAATAAAATACAAAGTCAACATATAAAAAAATCATATTTTATTTACTAGCAATGAGAAACTTAAAACAAAAAAAATTTAATCTCTATTCACAATAGCACCAAAGCGAAAAGAGAAATATTTAAATATAATTCTAAGACAATATGAAAGATCTGTATGCTTAAACTATACAATGCTAATGAAAGGAACCTAAGGCCTAGGTAAATGGAGAGCTATCCCATGTTCCTTCCTTGATTGTAAGATAGAGTATAAGATTTAAATTCTTGCTGGAGGTATGGCTCAAGCAGTAGAGTGTCTGACTAAAAAGTGGGAAGCTCTGAATTCAATACCTCAGAACCACCCAGGGAAAAAAAAAAAAGATTTAAATTCTTTCCAAATTGACTTATAAATTGAACATAATTCCAATAAAAACTGCAGCAGGATTTTTTTGTTGTTGTTTTGGAGGTACAGAGGAGATTATTCTAAAATTTACATGGGAAGAAAAACAAAACCTAAAACAGTCAAAATAATTTTGAAAAAAATATCAACTCAATGAACTCATAGGCCTATACTACCATGGCCAAGGTGGAAAGGCAGTTTAATAGAGTGAGGGTAGTCTTTTCAATAAATGGTGTTGAAACAACTGGACATCCATTTGTAAAAATAACAAAAGAAAACAAGATCCTTGACCTAACATGCATAGTATCAACTCAAAAAAGATCATATCTCTAAATGTAAAGGATAAATCTACAATACTTTTAGGAGAAAATCTTCCTGACTGCTGAGTAGGCAAAGGGTGTTAGGTTTTATTTCAAACTATAAAAGAAAAAGTTGAACTTTTCGAAGTTCTTTTTCTCTGCTAAGAGGATTAAAAGTCAAATGATAACCTTGAAGAAAACATTTGCGAGTCACATAAATAATAATGCTGTTATATCCAGGATATATACAGAACTCTCAAAACTTGACATTAAGAGAAAATCCAATACACTATGAGGAAAGATTTGAACAATTCACTGAAGAACACACATAGATGAAAAACGCACACATAAAAGCATGCACCATCATTAGACAGTAGGGAAATGCAGAGTCTACTACACAGCTATTAGCTATTAAATCTCCAAGCAAACAGACAGCACCAAGTGCTGACAAGGTAATAAACTGCTGTTAAGAATGCTAAATGGTACACTTTACAACAGTCTACGTCTGTCTTCTATAATTAAATATATACTTAGCACAGCAAAAGTATTTCCCCTACTAAGTATTTACCCTATAGTGATAGAAACTATGTCCACACAGAAATCTGTACATAAATGTTTATAGCAGTTCTATTTATAATCACCAACAACTAGAAGTATTGGAATTGAGTCTTTTCTAATTGCTTACCATTGTAGAAGGATCTGGACTGGAGGTATGGTTCAAGCAGTAGAGTGCCTGCACGGTAAGTACAAAGCCCTGAGTTCAAACCCCAGTCCCACCAAAAAAACTAAACTAAAAAAAAAAAAGAATGTCCACAGATACAAGTTCACAAAACAGGTAGTCAGAGCTGCGTGATAAAAATTCACAAGACGTATTAACAGCCAAAGATAACTGAAATCACATACCATACCAAGAGTGTAAATCTGAAGAAACAAAGAAATGCTGAATCAAATCCACAAAAACTGGAGATAGTGGAAGTATCAGACATGAATGTAAGTTCAACAAGTTTAAAGAAATAAAAGAATGGGTCCAAGGTGGGATGAAGGGTAAAAGGAACAAGAAACTATGAAACACAAGAAATTTGAAAAAAAAAAAAGAAAAACATTTTCTAGAAGTGAAAAATTCAGTAATTTTAAGATGAAAATAACATGATAAAATGGATTCAACTGCAAATCAGACCAATCTTTAGGAAGAATAAATGAACAGACAGATCAGAAGAAATCACCTTGCCCTTTGAGAAACAGAAGAGATAAGATGAAAGACGAGAAAAATATGGAGGCTGTGTAATCAGAATTCCATAGGTGGTAATAAGAACCTGCAGCTTCTAAACTAATAGAGAAGAAAAAAGAAAAAGTGCTGCTGTCAAATGTGTGGGTTCTAATTCTAGCTCTTCACTTTACTATACAACTGAGGGTAAGTTACTAAACGTTTCAAGGCCACGGTTTTCTCACTTCATACCGGCACTGTGACTACTAAACAAGATCCAAACATACACTTGCCACAGAACTCAATGTCACCTAGTGGCAATTAAAAAAATTAATCTGCAAAGTGTGATATAATAGCAATAGAATTAAGATTAAGACAGGGAAGAAATAAGCCTATCTGGATAATGGTTTGATTTCCAAATCTGTGAAGGAAGAGCAGGACACTGACCCTGCTTCCCTTGTCAATTTGCCAATACACTTGTAGAGGATGTAGTCACTTGAAAATACCCTTCGATTCTTTTTTTATTCACTGACCTGACTCCATTCCACTTCCCAAATCCTCCCACATCTGTAAACAATTAGAGGAGAAAAGACTCAATTATAATACTTTTATTACTCATCTTAAGTTCTGTTTTGAGAGAAAAGAAAGTCACATACTTACTTTTCATTAGTTTTCCTGATAATTCCTTCAGTGGAGAAGAGGGACTATTTCTAGTGGCTACTGTAAGTCTGGAAGAAGACTCTTGGATGTCCATGGAACCTTGATGAGTTCCTGCTCTGGTCATTTCAAGGACAGAATGGGCACTGTCACATTCCTGGGAAAGCAGCAAGTGATTCTGAGTGTTGTTAGTTCTACTATTCAGCTCAATTCCTTCTGATTGAGTCATAAGCAATTGAGCTGAGTTAGAATCCTCGAATCTCTTGTCAAGAGACTCAGTTATAAAAGATGCTGTAGTTTCGTGCTTTTTAGATGGAGAGACAGGCTCAGCCAGTGAGCTCTGCTTCACTGTGTTCAGAGTGTGTGCTCTTATTCGGGACCAAGTCGTAGAGTGAAAACTTTCAGCTTCTAACCAAAACTTAACCAAATGCTCCATTCTCCGAAGTTCCATGAATTGAATGAAATAAGGGAGGACAACAGTGTCATGCAAGACTTGCTCAAGGGTCTTTGAAAGACTTGATTTGGTCTCTTGAGTCTGGTAGTCCAAACAAGATCTGCCTAAGGGACAGAAGGAAAATAATAATTAGTTCAGTAACAATTTCAAATCTAAAGAATAGTCAACCACCTTTAGCAACAGTGGAACCAGAGGTCTTGAAAAAGTTTTACTTTCAAGCAATTAAAATGAGCAAAGAATTAGAAGTACTAAGAGTTTGGTTTCTAAACATGGCAAAGAAAAATTGTCTAAAACTTATCATTAAATTATTAAAAGCTACTTTTTTGGAGTCTCTACTCCCATTTCCTTTTCTCCCCACTTTTAACCTGTTATACTAATTTTTTTCCCTGATAAACTTTACTATTATTTTTACTACCAAAAGGAAAAAAAAATAGTACTTTGTCACTCAGTCCTCATATCCCTTCCAGTAGCAATTCTGACCACATAAATTCCTTTTGTTGGCGGTACTGGGGATTAAACTCAGGGCCTTGTGCTTACTAGACAAGTGCTGTGCCACCTGAGCCATGCCCCCAGTTCTTTTTGCTTTAGTTATTTTTCAGAGAGGGTCTTGAGCTTTTGCCCTGGCTAGACTTGGATTGTGATCCTCCTACCTCTGCCCTTTGACAAGCTGGAACCACAGGCATCCACACTACATCCAGCTTTCTTTCATTTATATTTTTTTGGTAGTACTGGGGTTTGAACTCAGGGCCTCCTAGCACTATGCCACCTGGATTGTTTTTGAGATAGGGTCTTGCTAACTTTTGCCCAGGTTGACCTCAGACCACAATCTTCCCTAGTAGCTGGGATTATAGATATACATCACTGTGCCTGATTATGTAAATTCTTAAAGAAAAAGAAATCTTAGAACATTAGTCCCAAAGAAAGTAAAGTGGCCAATAAAAACAAGAATTTTACTTGTACTCTTTTGTGTATTTAGTTCTCTATAATTTTATCATGTGTAGATATGTGTATTTACTGCCAAAACACAGCAAAGTTTCAACACCACAAGGATCCCTCAGGTTGCCCTTTTATAACACACTTATCTATGTCTCTTACTTCCACATCCCTAACACCTGACCAACACTGATCTGTTCTTCATAACTCTAATTTTGTCATTTCAAGACTCCTATATACATGAAATCATGCTGTATTATAACCTTTGGGAACTGGCTTTTCTCTCTCAGCATAATTCCCTTGAGAGTCATCCAAATAGTTATAGTATTCCTTGGTATAAAAGTATCTGTTCATTCACTTATTGAAGGACAACACTTTTTCACTATTAAGCTGCCACAAACATTCACCTGCAGGGTTTCTTTTGGTTTGGGTTTTTTTTTTTTTTTTGGTGGGACTGGGGTTTGAACTCAGGGCTTCATATAAAGTAGGAACTCTACTGCTCTGAGCCATGCCTCCAGTCCATTTTGCTCTGATTATTTTGGAGATGGGGTCTCAAAAACTAGTTGCCTGGGCTGGCCTTGAACCTCAATCCTCCTGACCTCAGCCTTCCAAGTAGCTAGGAATACAGGTGACAGCCACTGGCACTGGCTATCCACAGGTTTTTATATGAACATAAATTCATTTATCTGAGATAAATGCCAGAAGTGCAAAAGTCATATGGTAACTACATGCTTAGCATCATTAGAAATTGCCAAACTGTTTTCCAGAGTGGCTATATGATTTTACATTTCCATGAGTAAAACTTCCAATTTTATTTTCTGACTAATAAACATTTCGTTTGTAGTACATTGCTAAATGTGACCCACAAATACTCTTTGACACCCTGGCTTTGAATACACATATAACTGTTAAGCAGAGACATGTCAAAACTGGGAGTAATTTTATTACAAGTTAACTCATTCGTGGATTTTTTTTTCAATTTATGACAACATGACATACAATTTTTGTAAGTGCACAAAATTTGAGTAACACTCAGAAAACAAGGATCTCTTATATATGTCTTTGTTTTGGGGAACATTATTTTAATATAACAGGGATCTTACTATACATACTGTCATGTAGCCTGCTTTTTTCACTTTAACATGTGTTGTACACTTTTCTTGCCTTTTTTTTTTTTTTGTAGTACTGGGGCTTCAGCTTAGGGCTTCATGTTTGCTAGGTAGGCGCTCTACTACTTGAGCCACTCCAACAGCCCTTTTTGATATTGGGTATTTTGGAGATAGAGTTTTGTAAACTATTTGCCCCAGCTGGCTTTGAACCATGATCCTCCTGATATTTGCCTCCTGAGTAGCTGGATTATAGATGTGAGTCACCGGTGCCCATCTTTTTTTTTTTTTTTTTTTTTTTTTGGCAATGCTGGAGTTTAAACTCAGGGTCTCAGGCTTGCTAGACAGACACCATTTAAGCCATTCTACCTTCCCATTTTTCTGGCTTTTTTTTTTTTTTTTTGGACTGAGGTTTTTTTGAGGACTGAGGTTTGACCTCAGGGCTTTGCACTTGCAAAGCAGGCGCTCTACCACTTCACCCACACCTCCAGTCCACTTTGCTCTGGTTCTTTTGGAGATGGGGGGCGGTTCTCAAAAACTATTTGTCTGGGCTGATCTCAAGCCACGATCCTCTCAATCTCAGCCTCCCAAGTATCAGGGTTACAAGCGTGAGCCACTGAAGCCTTTTCTGCCTTTTAAAATGGCTACATTGTATTTCAGAGTATGAGTACACCACAATTTGACTATTTCTCTATTAACAGATATTAGGTTGTTATTTTTTTGTTATCATAAACAATACTATTATGAATACCCTTCTACATACTTATATATACATCTTTGTACACACGTGAGCCTATCTGAGGGCCAGATCGTGTCTAAATGAATGTATGCATATACACTTCCCCCCACATATACAACTTTTCTTTTTGTGGTACTGGAGTTTAAACTCACGACCTTGCATTTGCTAGGCAGATGCTCTGGCACTCGAGTCACACATCCAGGCCCATGTTTTCTATTTTTGATAACTATTTCCAAACTGCTTCCCAAAAATGTCTACACCAATTTACATTTTCACTAAAGGGGAGTGGCCATTTCCCTGCATCTTTACAAATGCTCAAATGATCAAACTTTAAATATATGCTAATGCGTTTTAACTTACTATTTTAATTTGTTTCCCTGAGTACTACTGAAGTGAGGCATCTTTTTCATCTATTTTTATTTAGTGGTCAAGTGTATTTTCTTCTGGAAACTGGTCATTTTTCTTTTGTTTTATATTCATAGAAACATAGTGCAATGCCACTCATACTTGTTACCATTATTTTAGTTTAACTATTTCCTCCCTCCTTTACACAAGGACTCACTACGTAGCCCATGCTAGCCTGAACTCATGATTGTCCTGACTCAGCTAGGATTACTCCTGAGTGCTAAGATTATAGGCATGTAGCACAATGCCCAGCTTAAATGTATTTTTTTCAAAATCCCTTCCAATTATGCATGTAGTTCAGTATCCTATGACAGGAGTTTCACAAATTGTACTCCTCTATTATGAGTTAACAAAAAGTGAGGGCTGGCAGAGTGGCTCAAGCAGTAAGAGTATCTGCCTAGCAAGCATGAGGCCCTGAGTTCAAACCCCAGTGCTGCCAAAACAAAAAAAAACCAAAAAAAAAAACAGTACCATGAGTTAACAAAAAGTGACAGTCACTTACCAAGGTCTCCAAAATGAGCGGCCTCCATGTGGCTTGGCTGCTTCTTAAGTGTTGCTGTCCTACTACTTGAAAAGGAGTCCATGTTGGCAGAAATGGCATTGATTGCAACATGACTTGGTCCTGCAGCCTCCAGCAAGGCATGATTTTTAGTGCTTTTTTGTGGGGAATGTGCAGATATTGAAGCTATAATTTTTCAAAAAAATTGTTAAAAATTAAACACAATTTGATAGTCTAAAACTCTCCTAAGAGGGCTTTAAGAAAACTTAAAAAAGTTAAAATTTCTAACACTTCACTTAAACTGCACACTCACCAAAAAATACTTAAGATGAAACACAACCTAATCAAGCATCAGAAAACCGGAAAGCCTAATACTCTAATATTATTTCTTACCTTCAAAATACTATACAAAAATGAAAATTAAAACAGACAAATCTTACTTTGAAAACTGAATCTCAGACCAGTTCTTTGACCTAGCTCTGGTCTTGTGTCTATTTACTGGTGGGCATTCCCACTTTGACTTTACCATCTCAAGTCCAGTTTTTCCAAATATCAAGTTTATCACATCTTCTTCTAAACCAATTCTCCTTCTTAATTTTCCTGTCTCTGTTCAATCCACTAGTTCTCAAAGCTCAAAATCATGGTCCAACTTTTCTTCACTGTTTATTTACCTGTCAATATTTGTTCTTTTTCTTCAAGATTATTAAACATCTACTTATTTTCAACATCCCACTGTTAATACACATCTTTCTGAATTACAAAAGAACCTCTAGGGTCTCTATCCTATATAACTCTTCCAGACTAACCTTTCATAAGGTTAATGCTGTATGGTGTATACAGCATTAGTATCCTGCTCAAAGGCCTTTAGTGACTCCCTCTTTTCTCTGGCTCAACTTTCTTTTCTGGTCTTTATGATCCTCTTATAACCTCATCTCAATCTTTCTAAAAATTTCCCTTTACTTAGCTAAAGGCCCCTTTGCCCAAAATATACTCAAAGAAGTAATATCTAGGCTAGTAGGAAGAAAAGAAACAATCTTCCCTTTCAACCAAATTCTTATTCTTCAACTTTTGTACAAGCTAAGTCTTATTTCCATGAAGTCTTCCATAAATTTCAGAAATCATTTGCTGATCTCAAATGCCTTGGTTTTTCTGATAAGCACTGACTCCTTACTTGGGCCCAGGAATTAACTAAAAGAAGGAGAAAAGCTTGGCTTTATCTAAGCCATTCACCTTACAGTCACTTGGGAATCTAGGAAGAACAGGAACTCATGGACAACATGTTTACAAGGAGGGATAGAGGAAACTGCCCTGAAAGAGGAGACCCTCCTGAACCTGCAATAACAACTTCTCAGAATCTCCTCTCACAACAAAGATCGAGATAATGGTCAATCAGCCACATCAGTGACTGGGACTGTTTAATTTTATATGCTTCTTCCCCAGCCCCAGTTCTTTGTCTATTTAAACCTATTGTTCATATCTGTACCCCAAAGATGACCAAAGATAAACTGAAATGTTGTCTTCTTATGGCATGCCTGTGCCATGTAAAAACCTGCTTTCTCTGGCTTCACCATGTTTCTTTACTTGGTATATGGGGAGAGTGGCTGGCAGGAATATAAGGCTGGGGTCTAAAATGCTAATTTCATTCTGACTGCCAAGACATCAAAATTCCTTCCTTCTCCTCCAATTAGATCTAGTCTTCACAGCCTCTGCTTGTTAAAAGCTTTCAGCTGTTATCAATGCCAGTCACATTTGGCTTAAAGAAGGCCATTTGAACTAATATGGAATCCATCTGGCTTTAAATGATCAGAAATATGCAGACAACGAGGCTGTAAAGTACCTATTTTTTCTCTAATCTTCCAAATCTCATAATAAATTACAATTAATCTCTCTCTGGCAAATAGAACACATCCACACTCAATGCTGGCCATACAACATATGAACACTGGAAAGAAAAACTAAATAAGTAGCAATTTGCAGGTTTTATATAAGTTACATTTATGAAATTTATATGTAGTGACTATGGACCCAATTTTCCACTGTAATTTTCTCATTCCATTTTCTGTACATTGGACATAATGAAATGAGTCAAAACTACCACAGAGATTACAATCTTAAAAAAGCATACCCTAAATAAAAAAGGACCCTATGTTAATGCCAAAAATCCACTATGAATCAATTTTAAATTGTCATTCATCCAAAGTAATAAAGAGTAAAGGTTATAATCATCCACATTTCTGAAAAAACAGAAAACCAACTCTAACATAGGTAGGAGTGCTTTCCCTCCATTGTCAGATTGCTCAGTTTTTAGTTAATTGAATAAAGTCAACTAATTACTTTTTTGGAAACAATCAAATGTCTGACTAATGAGGGCACTGGATCGCTGTAATCACTAACACAGCTAATAAATGCTCAGTAAAAGCCTATAATGAGTCAACTGTTAACAGTAGGTTAAAAAGGGAGATAAGTCACAATCATAAGTAATTACAAGAGGGCAGAAATGATTAATGCCAAAAGAAGGGAGAAGATTACAAGATTAAAGAGCTCGTAAGTGCAAAGCACATCACTTTTTAATACAATGTAATGCAACTGAACTCACCTTTAATAGACTTGCTATCTGAGGTCTTCTCTTGTTCTTTGCCTTTCACTGGAAGACAAAAGGGCATTGTGACCAAATTCTGCAGACAGAGACTGATTTTGACATTGTCAAAATTAGAGAAGCTTGACTCTAACAGATAAGTATTAAAGTTTCAGAACAATGGACTATGTGACTTAAAGGGGATTAGGGCACAGTAACAGTAGGTGTCAGGGAAGATTTCTCTAAAGAAAGTGATTTCTGCACAGTGGTCAGTCAAAAACTTTGGGCTTTTGAAGAGACAACACAGTCACAATACCTGGGTTCAAGATCTGCCTTGGCCACTTATTACTTGTGTGGTCTTGGGCAGATTACTTCACTAGGTCTTAATTTCCTTGATTAATAAAACTAGACAACAACAAAACACTGAAAGTTGTTGGATAATGGGGGGGGCAGTGGAGGGGGAAAAGAGAAGGAGAGTAATTAAAGGGGGGTTAATCTGACTGAAGTTCAGTATATTCACAGGTGAAATACCATTGTGAAACACTTTTGAACAAGGGATATGGACTTAAAATGAAGGACAAGATTGTAAAACAGGTCCTGTAAGGGGGCAGGTATTTGTGAGAGGGGGTGAATGGAGGGGATAAGGGGGGTAAATATGGTCAATGCACTTTATATACTTATATGAAATAGAACAATGAAACCTATTGTAATTGTTTTAAGTAGGGGAGAGGGGGATGAGGGAGAATGATAGTGGGGATGGATCTAACCAAGGCACATTATAAGCACATATGGAAATGTCACAATGAACCCCCCTGTGCAACTAATATACACTAATAAAAATGTTTTAAAAATAAAATTAGGTCAATAATAAAACTTATCTTACAGGGATACTGATGAAAAACTAAACACTTGAGGAATGCTTGTTGAGGGCTCTCACTAACATGTTAAATCTAGGATAAATGTGAACTATCATTATTACCACATACTACCTACTCTGCTAGCTGCTGTAAGTGTAGTGAAGAAAAAAGTTCTTTGGTTATGTTTCATATCTTACTTCTTTTATATTTCCTCCCCAAGTCAAATACAAACATTCTAAACTTCTAAGTCTCAAGATTTAATAAGTTGTTTCTAAAATGATCACATGAACTATCCTCTACTACACAAAACAATGAAAATTCTATTGCAGATAAGCTAACAATGTGACATTCAAGGAAAGTGCAAGGTAGCTGAAGTCAGGAATGAACTCTATTACAGGATCTGAAAGAAGACTGTTTTAACCCGCTTTACTTTTCTTATGTTGTTTTCAACAATAAGCTTTCTTTAAATTCACAAAAAGTTTATCAAAATAAGAAATTCCCAAATGTTCCCATCTCTCTGTATGAGCTCAAAAACGTTCAAAGTTAAATGGCTAGTAGGAAGAAATAACTAAGCTCTCACGGTATCTTTCTAAACAACTATTTGGGTATCAACAACTATTTAGGTGCCTAGCATATGCCAGACTTCTGGCTCAGAAAAGGCAGAGTGATCCTGCCTTCCATAAGTCTACTTTTGGCCAGGTCTGTGGCTCAAGCCTGTAATCCTAGCTAATCTGGAGGTTCAAAGCCAGCCTAGCACAGCCTCAGCAAAACAAAAGTTCAGGAAACCCCACCTCAATCAATAAAAAGCTGGGAATGGTGGTTCTTGCCTGTCATCCCATCAGGCAGGGAAGTATAAATAGGATGATTCCTGCCCAGGCATAAAGTGAGACCGTATCTCAGAAATAATCAGAGTGGGCTGGTCGAGTGGCTCAAGCGTAAGAGCACCTGCCTAGCAAGCATAATGCCAAGTTTAAACCTAAATGCCCTTAATAAATAAATAAATAAACAAAATAACCAAAACAAAAAGGGCTTGGGGGTGTGGCTCAAGTAGTAGAACACATGTCTAGCACCCACAAGGCTTTGAAATCAAACCTCAGTACTTCCTAAATAAATAATGACAAAGCAAAAAGGCGGGGGGAGTGGGGGGTGTCTAAAGCAGTAGAGAGCCTGCCTAGCAAGCTCAAGGCCTGAGTTCAATCCCTAGTACCTCAAAAAAAGGGGGAAAAAAAGTTTACTTTCAAGAGAGTGGACACTAACATAGAAAAATTGAGATCATCTCAGATACCAGTTAGTATTATCAGGAAAGTAAAATAACAAAGTGTGGGAGAGTGATGTACCTGCAGCCTGCTCAGCAGCATCTGCCAAACAGCTTCATCTCTTGCTTGAAGCATTAGCTTGTGTTGGCTTCCATGGCACTCCACTCTCCTGATTTTCTAGCTGCTCCTTCTCAGCTTATCCTCTTGCTGACCTCTCTGCCTTGGCCCACTGGAAGATTCTCAGCAAAGAGTAGGTCTCTGTCTTTTTTTTTACACTACATATACATGTATATTTCCTGGCTTATTTTCCTACTCTTTATAAATGAGTACATGTGTATTTCATAAGTAAATATATATTTATATTTTATGTATATATTTACATTGTATGTTTATATATACAGATGCACACATACATTTTTTAAAATAAGACACTGAATCTCTATGTTGCCTAGGCCCCAAAGTTGTGGGCTTAGTGATCTCCTGCCTCAAGTAGGTGGGATTATAGGCATATGCCACAATGCTTGGCTTATATATTTTCAGTTGGCACATGGTAATTGCACAAATTTATGGGATACAGTGTGACTTTTCAATACATGTATATGTCATGATCAGGTCAGGGTTCCCTATTTGGAAGGCCTTCAATACCATGTATAAGCTATGGCTCCTAAATTTGTATCTCTATTCTAAATCTCTTCTTTCATATCAAATTCATACAGCTATTCACCTACCTGTGTGGACCATCTTTTCTCATACCTGTTCCTACCTCAGTCTTCATCTTCTCTCACTTAATACCATCAGCCACCAGATACCCAGAACAAAAATCTGGGAGTTATCCTTAACAATGTCTCTTCTTTATCTCCCATGCCCAAACCACTTCTAAGAATGGATTATACCAGCAAAATATGCCACCACAGCTCCACTTTTGCCACACTCAAAACATTCTCTTTGCCATGCACCAGTGGCTCATACCTGTAACCCTAGCTACTTGGGAGGCTAAGATCTGGAGGATCACAGTTCAAGGACAACCTGGACAAAAAGTTCATAAGACTCCATCTCCAAAATAACCAGAGCAAAACGGACTGGAGGTGTGACTCAAGCAGTAGAGCACTTGCTTTTCTAAATTCGAAGTCTTAAGTTTAAACCCCAATCCCACCAAAAAAGAAAAAACTCCTCCTCCTATTTGATCTTCAAACATAAAAATGCGCATCAAATACTAGCATTTTGCTTTATTTCCTTTTCCTCTGTAAATATTGTAAATATAGTTTGAGGTTCCTATGCTTTGATTTTTTTGTTTTGTTTTGAGACACTCTTGCTATGTAGGTCAGGTTGGCCTCAAACTCAAGTCCTCCTTCCTCAGCTCTCAGCTTCCCCGGGTACTGGATTATAGGTATGTACTAACAACCGAGCTCTTGAGGTTCCTGTGAATCCCCACCTGATTCCATTGCTTCCCCCCCCATCAGAGATAAACATTATCCTAAACTAGATGTTTTCCTGTCTTCCATGTTTTTAGACTGTTACCATATATAAATACATAAAAATGGTATTATTTTGCTCCTCTTTAAAATTACATAAATACTATTCTATGCCTATAGGACTTGCAGTCATTTAACATTTTGACGTCTACATTGATGCAGCTCTAGTTCATTCAGTATAGCTACTTAGGTCCTTTATAAATATGTCTTACTTACCCATTTCCCGTAAGTAAATTTATTTCCTAATTTTCACTTACAAACATTGGTGTTTGTGAAACATTCTAGTACATGTCTTCTTATGCAAATATGCAAAAATTTGTCTATGGCAAATCCCTAGAAATAGAATTGCTAAGATAACAAACTGCATTTTAAATGAAAGTGGCTATACCAATTAATACTTCTTCAGCCATGCTTCATATTCTCATCCTTGGTATTTTTAAATTTTTGCCAACTTACTAGTTATTTGGTGGATGCAGTTGTGTGCCAAGATGTCATCCCCAACGTATAAGCATCAGCTGTGGCCATTCTTCCCCCTTTACCCTCAACCTAGATGAATACAATGTATTTCTGGAAACCAGAAGCAGGTAGGCCACAAGATTCCAACTTAAATGTATCCATAACAACTCCAAGTGCCCAGGGCTCATCCATAATGAGCCTGAATTCATTAGACATTATCAAGAACAGCAGGTCTATCCCAATTTCAAACCTAATCCCAAGAATTCACTCTTAGGAGCTGTGCTTGGAATTGATCCCCTTTTTCTGTTATTGTGTATTCAAAACTAAGAGAGAGAGGATGGAAAATTGAACTGAACATTTAGTATCTCATGTGAGGTCTGACAAGGAAAACAACATGCATTTTTTGCTTTAAAAAAATCTTCTATTTACCATAAAAAAAGACAGAAAGAAATGTTACTTGATGTTTTAAATTAATTTCCTTATTTCAGTTGAAGTTCAACGTCTTTCATGTTTATTAGCCATTTAGATTTCCTCTTTTATGACTGCTACTTTATGATACTATTTTTAAAAATTCCATACATATTCTGGGTGCCAACCCTTTGTTGTCTGCAATTTGTGTTGCAAATATTCTAGGCATATTTTATTGTAAGCTTTAATTTTAATGTAGCTAAATTTACATTGTTTTATTTTCCTGTGTCTTATTTTTTTTTTAATATTCTTTTCTATGCTAGGCGCCAGTGGCTCACGCCTATAATCCTAGCTACTCAGAAGGCAGAGATCAGGAGGATTGCAGTTCAAAGCCAGCCCAGGCAAATAGCTCAAGAGACACTATCTGATAAAACTCTATCACCAAAAAATTGGGCTGGTGGAGTGGTTCAAGGTGAAGACCCTGAATTCAAGCCCCAGTACTGCAAAAAAAAAAAAAAAATTCTTTCCTACCCTAAGATCAGATTGGTTTCCCCTCTATATGTTTTTTATTTGTTTTTAATTTGGGGTTCCATCTACCAGGAATTTATTTCTGTATAGCAAAGATTGGCAAGCCATAGCCCATGAGTTTTATCTAGCCCATTGCCAGTTTGTTTTTTTAATAAAGTTTTAGTGTAGCACTACACATTTGTTTACATACTGTCTATGGCCACAAGGACACAGGAGTATGTGACAGAGACTAAAGTATTTATAATCTGGAAACAATTTTTTTCTTTGTTTTTGCAAGATGGGTAACAGCATCATTTACTGATTGCTCCATCCTTTCCCAACAGCCTAAGAACTCCTTTTTATAAACTGAGTTCCTGTATACGCCTGGATCTGTTTCTGTGCATTCATTTTGAAAATGCACCATAAGTAAAAAAAAAAAGAAGAGAAACCAAATGCAAAGATACAGCAAAATAATACTGCTTTCTCCATCTTCATGAAACCAGCTCCCTCCTGGTATTTGAGATGAAACTGAATGACATCTCAGAGGACTTCCTTAACCACCCAATCTAAACAGAGATGACTTGTCTACACTTGGGTGTTAATTGTCAGAATGGTGAGAAGTGGTTGGATTTGGACATGTTCTTGGACAGACCTATTAGATTTGCTGATGGGTCAGATAGACTAGGAGAGAAAGAGAAGTTCAAGGATGCACTAAAGTTTTAGCCTGAGTAATTAAAAGCCCAAAACCTGATGAACAGGTTTAGAAGGACTAAGTCTAGAGTTAAATTTTAGATATTGTAAGTAAACTTGTCAGGTAGAGATAAAAAGTGGACCAACAGCTGGATATACCAGTCTGGATTGAGGGGCCAAGCTGAAGAAGTAAATTTGAAAGTCATAAACACACAGGTGGTATTTAAAGATGTGTTGGCTCTGCTTCCTGGATGCAATGAAATAAGCAGCCTCCTCCACCATATGCTCCTGCTACCATGATGTTCTGCCTCACCACAAGGCCCATAGCAACTGAACCAGCAAACCATGGACTAAAACCTCTGAAACTCACTTCTAAAACTAAATGCCATGTGACAAGAAACCAAGATGATGAAAACCGTGCTGAAAAAAGTATACTGATTCCTAGAGAGAATTTCTAAATGAAACTGGAAACAAAAGAATTATCATGAAAAAGAACTCAAAGAGGCAAATGAGAATTCATCTTGTAATTTCATTCACTTAAGGGCATGAGATTCACAATTTTCTTTGACATCAGAAGGGACAGATAACATCACAGTAAAATTATAAAAAAGCATCTCTCAAAAGATTTAGATGAAGAAGAAAATCAAAAGATAATAGACAACAGTGAGGCAAATATGACGAAAATAAAAAATCCTAAGGTAATTTTAAAAAGAAATTCCTGTTTTCAAATTTACTGTTTTAAGTGAAACATGCTGTGAAATAAACTTTTCTTTGTCAAGAAAGAAAGAAAAGAGATGGCATTTAAAGTCTGGATGGGACTTTAAGCAAAACTGTCTCCAGCCTCTATTCTTGCCATATCAGTCTTTAAAAGCATAAAGAATGATCTTTTTCAAGAAGACTTTATTTATTTTTTGACAGCACTGAGGTTTGAACTCAGGCTCTCACGCTTGCCACACAGGTCCTCACTCTATCACTTGAACCACATCGTCAGCATAGAATGATTCTTTTCAAAACAGATCAGATCATTCTTCTTTAAAACTTTATAAAGTAATGTTCTCTCTGTATTTGGAATAACACCTAACCACAGTCAATAAAACTTTCAGTTACCTGATGCTTGCCCATTTATCCGTGCCCCAGCCATGGCAGCTATCTTTCCTTTCCCAAAGGGTACCTAGCTCCCTGTGTCTATGGAACTTTTCCCTCCTACTTACTGTTTCTTTAACTTTTTGTTTCAAAGCTACCTGTGAGTCCATTCTCTAACATCCAACCAAATCATCTTTTTCCTCTCCAGTTACTCTTTCATTACACTTTATTCAATTTGTTAGCACCCCCCCCCACGTGCACACACTTATACACAAAGATTGTTTGCCTATTTATTGTCAGTCTACAGCAGCAGACAATAAGGTCCGTAAGTGCAGAGGTTTTGTCTCACTGGTCAATGAGAGCCTAACACAGCGCCTAGCAGATTGCAAATACTCAAAAGTATTTGTTAAATAACTCAACAATATTTGTTGAAAAGTCAACAGTCTGAATACAACACGCAGTTAGCCTCAATAAACTTAGAATGCTTTTCCCCCAATTAAAAAAAAACCCTAAAAATATAAGAAATACAAAACCCTAACCACGTCAACAATAAGAATAATTAATAACTCTTTAAAGCTATGAAGGTACCTAACCAATAAAGCTTCCTACCATTTTAGCAGTTTCATTCATTCATCACCTAGCATCAGCTACTAAAACCCTGCACCTACCGAAGAGAAATTCTTTAGTCAGTTATAGTTTAAGAGGGCCTTTAGAGACCATCAGATTGTCAGTTGAGGAAAGAGGGAAAAGTGGGTTAACTGGCCAGTTTCAGGTTATACAGTTAATACCAGAGCTGTCATGTGAACCCAAGTTCCTGATTTTGCGTAATGTTTTCAAAACCCCTTTCTGATGTCTGGTACATTTTCAATGAGGCAACGAGAATTGACAGGATAACCATTGCCTTCTAAAGAGGGTCTTTCACTTTGGAGCTGTCTTGCCATTGAAATACAACAACCTTCTCCCAGGATCAAAACCATACTGTCTCCACTTAAAAATGGGGCAGCTCTTAAACTGAAAATCAGAAATATAAGTAGCTCGTTTATCAAGTTAGGGTTCTCGTAATAAGTAAACTTGCTAAGTCATCAAAAGAAGCAGTCTTCCTCATTAGGGAACTTTAGCAATAAGGAATTTTATTTTAGGAATAAGAGCTGGTCCCCTTCCCCACCAAAAGAGGAAACTGGAAAATGACACTGGTTGAACTATTGTTTCGCGTGTTGTTTTTAAGATATAAACACTCAATAATAGAAAGAGACTTCCGTAATAAAGTTCAAAAGAGATTTCCTAGATCTTGAGCCACAGTACACACACACACAAAAGCAAAAAACAACAACCAAAAAACCTGACAACCTCAAATACCATTCCGAGGCAACCAAGCATTAACTTCTACTGGTCTGAGCAAACACTTTCGCACCGGTGCGACAACTGCCTCCGACCTCCCCCGAACAGGCCACTTTCTCCCTTCCTACAGAGGACCGGGCAGAGCCAGGCGTCAGGGGGCGTCTGCGCGGAGGCGGAGGCTCCCCAAGAGCCTTCGCCGCCGCTACAGAAAAACGCCTGCTGCCCCACCTGACCCGCCGCGTCCCAGACGCCCGGCCTGGCCCCCCGCCGGCGCCCCCTCAGCTACCTTTCCGCCGGAAGAAGGACATGGCAGGGCCCGGGTCCGGGCGGAGGGCGCGGGGGGACTGTCGCGGAGAGGGCCCGGCTCCCCTCATTCAGCAACTGCCCGGACTTCCGGGTCCGCAGGCGCCGCGCACTATCCCAAAAAGAAACCCTTCTTCCGGGTGTGGGCTCCACTGCCTCCTCGGGATGCCCAGGGAGCTCCCGCCGCCATATTATCAACAAGCCGCCCGCCGGGAGTTCCGGTCCTTCCCCGCGCGAGGCTTCACGGGAGGCCCGGCCGCCGGCCACGCCCCCTCCCGCTCGCCTCCTCCCGTCAGTGCAAGGGCGCGCGCCCACGCCACCCACGTGACGGACGCGTGCGGCCTGCGTCTCTTCCCGGTGACCTGGTGTCTGCAGCTAGAAACGGTTCCCGCCCTGGCTTTCTGATGCCAGGCCCTGGCCCTCGGTGGAGTGTTTGCCGACCCAGGCTCTGTAAACTATCCCTTCTGGAGCTGGATGAGCAGGTTCAGGGAGCCTGCCGATGGGCACTTTGCAGAGCTTGTTCTTCTAAAGGCGCGACCTACACTGCCACGCCCCCTGCTTCGCAGAGCTTTACTGAAAGGCACTGCCGACTTAGGCATCTGCACTGTGCTCACTCAATCCCACCCGGCCACCAAGTCGAGCCAGAACCTTAATAATGAGTAAGTGGAATGACCTGCTTTACGCAGCTCTGCTCCGAAGGCTCCCTTGCTCATAGTGACCTCAGGATGGAAAGGGGAGAAATGGGTTTACTTTTCAGAAGGCGATCGCTGCAAATGCGCAAATTCGAAAGGGGCCGCGGAAAAACCTCGCCAATGCATCATTTTTTTCAGTCTTGTTTGAATGCCATTTACCTGTGAATCTTCTGGCCCTCCCTTAAAGCATAGTGAATCAAGCCTCAACAACCTTTAGTGCCCCTTGTCACCCGGTAGGTTCTCAGCGACTGCCTGGTGATTGTAGCTTCTCCAGCCTGGGAAGGAGACAGGTATTAACAACTCAGTACTAAAGTATCGGCTAACTGGGTTTTTTAAATCAATGAAGTCTGTCATGGGACAGACAGGGAAACTGAGGTCCAGAAGAGGAAACTTGTGTCTTGTTCTGTGACAGGTCCTTAACCTGCTTTTGCTGAAAAACACTGAGTTTAATTGGGCTCATGAATTAACTAATAGTAAGAGAAAAGCATGGCATCTGTCCTCCATTTTTTGTATCTTTCTTTGCTCCAAGCCATTCTCTATGCGGTCACTTTGCAGTAACCTTGGATTCCAGGAAAGACAGATGATAACATTTTCATGACAAGACACCGAAATTACCCTCAACAGTAGATCTTCCTCAGGATGGACCACCTGCCACTTGACAATAAATCCAGATAACAACTCTGGAACCTTTCCCAGAATAAGGACAGATAATAGTCAACCAGGACACACCTGTAACTGGGACTATTTAACTATGCATACCTTTTGTCCCCTGTCCCCAATTCTTTGTCTATTTAAACCTGTTTGTACCTTGAAGACGACTGAGGATGAGCTGAGTGCTTACTGTGCCTTTTCCCAGGGCATATTCCGAGCCGTGTAATAAATCTCTTTTCTCTGCCTTCACCATGTCTATTTGGTGCTTAGGGAAGGGTGATCAGACATGGCATATTTGTCTTGGGTCCAAAACTGGTTTCATTAAGATTATAACTAGAACCTGGGGTCCTTTCAGCATATAAGAGCAAGTTAACAGATTTGCCTGCTTTGTTTTCAGGACATGTTTGCAAATGCATGAAAAGTCACCAGAGCTAAAATTTACTGAAAATTTGCTAACTCCTCCAGATTAGCAATAGTCCCCAGGCTTGGTCTTGTTACGGGGAAACTAGGCACAGAAAAGTCACCTGTCCAAAGTCACAAGCTAACTAGAGGTGAGACCTGAATTTCAAGGTCCAGTCTCTCCCAGGTAGCCTGTATAGGAGTGCTAGGCAGGATCAGGAAAGACTGACAAAGGCTGTGAATGTGTGTCACTAGTGAGTTGTCCCCTGAGGAGAGTCTGAGTGGTGACACTGCTCCATGCCTTTGGAAAATGATCTGCACTGGAGGGACACCCACCTTTGTCTATGGCCCATAAATCCACAGATCAAAAGGGAGGTTGGCTGAGGTTGGAGACAAACAGGCCTGGGGTGTGGTCTAAGTGAGATCTCTCTACCAGCTGAGTCTAAGGGACTAAATGATCTAACAAGCATGTCCACACTCTTAGCAAGCAAGCCCAGAGCCCTTCTCTCATTCCCTTCTTTTTCCCTTGCTGAGGCCATTTTGTACTTGTTGACTGGTCTGAGCTAGAGCCAGAGCGACATAGAGAAAGGAGGAGGGGGACAAATTCTTTGAATATTTCCTGGATGAGAGCAGAGCCTAGAGGACCAAGGGGAGGGCACTAGTTCCTCTAAATCACCTCAAATGCTCTCATTCTCTCCAGGTTGGCATGACCAATGTAGAAGCAGTGTCTTACCCTGACTTCCAGTATGACCGCTGCTCCTGAAGTCCCTCCTACCAGAAATTCTGGAATTGCTTTTATTCCCCCAGACAGCTGAAGACAAGACATGCAGTCAGCTAAGCATAGCTGTCATTATGAAGTCTCATGATGTGCTCTTCATGTACTTAGCACTTTATAGACACAACCTCACTTAATCATTTGCCCATGATCGCCCTCAAAAAAAAAAAAAAGACCCTGTGAGATGGCTTTCATCATTATCCTAAATTTACCAAGGACAGCCTGAGGTTTTAGTGTATCTGATCCAGGATCATAAGACTAATAAGAGGTAGAGACAGAATTGTCATTGTCTGTCTGACTCCAAAGCCATGAGCTTATACCACTTCCTCTTGTCTTTCCCTCTACCTCCAGCTAAGACTCATACATCCAATATCCCAGAACAGGATCCCTATTGAGCATGTATAAGGGAATAAGTTGTATTTATCAGCCCAGATACTTCAGGTGCCTTCTGAATCACAATCACTGTTATGGTTTGGATCTGAAATGTCCCCCCAAAGGCTCATATTTTTAAAGGCTTGGTCACCAGCCTATGGTGCTATTGGGGAGTTGGTAGAACCTTTAAGAAGTGGAACTATGTGAGAGAAGATTAGGTTTCTGGGGATGTGCCCTTGAAGAAGGTTGTGGAATCTCAGCCTCTTCCTCTTGAGACAGATCAGAGAGACCCACTTTCCCTAAGGTATTTGGCCAGGGGTTAAGCACAATTAAGTTCTGTTGAGAATGTTAATTCCATGATAGGTCTTTATTATAATCATCCTTTACAACTGAGTTCCTTCTCCTATGCCAGGCTGCCATGAGCAGAGAGCCTCTAGATAAGCAGCACCATTGGCAACCAGCTGAGGGCAATCCAGCTATTGTGAACACTCCATAATCACTCTGAGGACACTCAGCTGCAAGGACCCCTGCAACCATAGCTGCTGCTGAAGCCATGACTCCTGACTCAGGCCTTGTTCCAGTCATGACTACTCCAGGCAACTTGCTTGGGCTTTGGAGAACTCCACTCCGGCAGGACAAGTCCCTGTGAACTCTAGAGGAGTCAGCTCACCACGCAGCTATTCTTACTCGGTTTGGGAGGAAGAGAATGTTCCCCAGTGACTCAGCAAAAACCCTGTGATTGGTGCAACTCGAGGATTGGTTCATAAGCAAGGCTGGTGATAAGTGTATTTGCAAGGCTTGTTACTGGTAGAAGTAGAAGTGCCCATGTAAGGCTGTGATTGGTGATATTAGAGTCTGAACATAAACCCACCGCGCCCCTTTTCTACCTGTATAAGCAGGCTATTTCTCATTCTATTGGGGTTAGTCCAGAAGGCTTCTCCTGTGAACTCTTCCTTCACCCCCATGTTATAACATTAGGTGCAACAAAAGCTTCTCTAGCATAGTCTTATTGCCTATCTGCACTCTTTATCATAGGTAGAGTGGTCTGAGCTGGTTGCATCAAAAGCAAGTTCTTGGGGTTTTTAACCTCAGATTCACCCAACTGCCAGAGAGAAGGCAGCTGAAGAGTGCCAGAGAGTGGCGGGGAGTAGAAATTGTAGAGAACTGAAACTACAGAAAGCAAAAGGCTGTGACAAGCCAAAGGCAAGAGCTGGGACTACAAGAGCTGCAAGCCGCCATCACTGAAAAAGAGTTGCAGAATGCTACTGGTATTATATAAGGTCCCCAACACCCAAAGCTCAGAGCAATAGCATTGGCTGCTGGGTACTAGGCCACTGGCACTGAAAGCTCAGAGCAATAGGCTTCTGATGTGAACACCTACAGCTACAAGTTTCTCTCTGGCTTTGAATGCTTGGCGCAATAAGTATCTAGTTGTCAGGAGACTGTAAGTCTCTATCTTTGAAGGCCTGGAGCCATAAGCTGTAGTTCTTAGGGCCAAGAGCTCCAAGCCTCTGGGTTTATAAGACCAGCCCATAAGCCACTGGCACCCAAGAGCTAGGGCTACAAACCCTGCACTCACGGAGCTGTTCCTTCCCATTCACATTGAGCAGAAGAACCCGCAGCAGTCATTTGTAACATTCCTCTCTCTTTGCTTCCCAGCCACCATGAGGTGAGCAACCTTGCTCTATTACATACCCTGCCATGATGCTCTGCCTTGTAAAGGCCTGAAGAGATGAGGCAAAGTGACCATGGACTGAAACCATGAGCCAAAATAAACCTTTGCTCCTTATAAGTTGATTATATTAGGTATTTTGTTACAGTATTGAATTTCCAAATTAATATGTTAGAGTCATTTTAATTTACATGCAAAATAAAATAAATTCTTACAAGGACTTCCTTTAATTATGCTCCTAATTTTAAGGGAATCCTCAGAATTTTTTAAATGTCAGCTGTACTAATTGTAACAAATCAGTGATGTAAAATTAGAAAGTTCATTATCATAAAGCCAGTGAATAAAATTAATCTATATTAAACACTTTTTGTAAATTAATGGATAATGTTCTACAACAAGCATTCTTAAAAGAATAGCTTCTAGTTTTTTACATCAAACATTCACAACCTCAGTGAAACTACTCGAACACATCTTTTGAGAAAGGAAAAAGAAAACCTGGACCTTTTTTAGTAAGCAATTGCAAACTCAGACTTATGGCATAAAGATTGATATTGCATATTAATATAATTTAAAATCCTCATTAATTGTCTAAACAACGAGTGATTTTTTTTTTCAGTAGTGGTGGTACTGGGGTTTGAACTCAGGACCTTGCACTTGGCTAGGCAGGTGCTCTACCATGTGAGCCACAC